GAGGTAAATATCTTTGTTGTCTCTATCTAGCGAGAAAGAGAGATGAAAATGATTGTGTACTGTTTAACGCCCTCTCGAGAATGTTTAAATCATACGGAGACGTCACCACTTTCCGGTGGAGAGTTCTATACTCGGCACTTACATGTAGGACCATTTAGCATGGAAGGTTTTTTTGCGAGCCACCACTTACTGCGACACGGAACTTCGGTTTATACGGTCTCATCCGAGGGACCGGTCTCCAAGTGCCACAGTGGGATTCGAACCCTTGACGTAATGCAGATGAAAAGAGAGAAAGAGTGAGAGAAGTGGATTGAATTTCAATATTCAAATAAACACTTTACGATAAACATGTATGATTAGTAATTTCTCCAGAAATCTATGGGTGTAATTCTTATGCGATAGTACTCATTAATTGATAATCAATTATTTCAATTATTAAAAACTAGATGTACAAGGTTAGCATTGAACATTTAAACCGTTTATATTCCTTGTATATGGGTTATTAGGCAAAAGACAGAGGATCGTACATTTTATCTACAACTCATTTATTATGATAAAAGCTCCCATGCGTTTTCCCTTGCAGTAACCATTTGTTCTTTATCGTAGAATTAAGACGTTTTTTTTGGGGGGGGGGGGGCAAAATTTCACTATTTTTACTTCTGTTAAACAATTATCATCTCCAGTTTTTGCAAACAATTTTCAGGTTCATAATTTGATTTTTTTCATCTGTTGATCAACTTTACTATCTTCATTTTTCGTCACTAACGTTTGATTTCAAATTTCATTTTTTTAATCTGTTGATCAAGAATTATGTGTCTTTTATGTACCTGGTTTATGATTTTAGGTTCTCGCGGGGTCGTGTGCAGGGCAACCCTGTAGAGGGAACCAAAAATGCATCCCTAAACCTTTTGGAAAATTCGAGTGCGTTTTGTCAGGTGAGATAAAAAAAATCGTCTTTTACAACAAGCTGAAAGTTAAATTAAAAAAATGTAATTTATAGATGTATGTTTTGATTATAATTTTATGCCCGGGTAATTGAAGATACGGGGACATTAATTTAAACTACAACCTTGGTCTTAAATTTTTATGCGCCCGCATCGATAGATCCGGAGCGTATATTGTTTTTGTCCTGTATGTCTGTTTGTTTGTTTGTTTGTTTACCTTTGTTTACTTTATCCTTCGCCATAAATTTTGAACCATGAAAGATTGAGATTTTATACTTTTTATGCATACTCCACTTATTAAGCTCTTTCAAATGACACCAAGGTCAATGACCTTGTGACCTTGACTGTGGGCTATATGCTAAAAATAGTTTTTCTGCAAACTTTAACCTTCGCCGTAAGTTTTAAACCATATAAGATAGAGACTTCATATTTAGAATGCATACTCCACTAATCAAGTTCTTTCAAATGACATCAAGGTCAATGCCCTAGTGACCTTGACTGTGACCTATATGTTAAAGATAGTTTTTTCGAACTTTGTTGCCGCCGAGGGCATAGTGTTTCACGAACACATCTTGTTGATTGGTTGGAGCTTTCACTTTCATGTTTCACAAGTGTATTCCTTGTGGTAAGATTTCTTTTGAGTAAATACACATCTCACCTCATTACTTTGGAGTAGGACCCACTTTTGATTAACTTTAAAATTTAATTTGTATTCATTGTGAGACATGCAAGACCTTTTATTTTGTACCAACAATTTTGACAAAGAGTTTAACTTTATGTTGAAAAGAAATTTAAAGCTGGTCATGAATTTTGAACAGTTGGTACTAGGGCTTTCCTATTTTACCCTCTATATTCATTTTAACAGGCCATGGTTCTACCAGTGAAACCGAATAATCATATTCCTGCGTCACTGGTGGTGATGGAACGATAGATTAATTGTATAATGCTTAACGTCCCTCTCGAGAATTTTTCACTCAAATGGAGACGCCACCACGTGCTTGTGGAGAACTGCAAATTTTGTACTGCACTCGGCACTCAGGGCCATTGCGCAGGGAGGGATCCTTTTCGTGCCAGCACCTACTGCGACACGGGACCACTGTTTACACGGTCTCATCCGAAGGACCGGTATCTACGTCCCACAGTGGGATTCGAACCCGTGACGTAAGGAGAGACTCCTTACTACGCGACTTCTGATCAGACGCTCTTACCACTGCGCCACGCAGGCGACTGGAACGGTAGAGTATATGTTGTTTTACGTCCTTTTCGAGAATTGTTGCTCATGTAGACGTTACCATATAATTGTGACAGTCTTCAGATTTTCACCTTTGCCCGGCCCTTAAGGGTCCTTGAGCAGTGTGGGATCCTTATCGTGTAAACGCCTGGTGTGACACAGGACCTCGATCTTTAAGGTCGCATCAGAAGAATGGTGGAGAGCGTATGGCGAAGGAACAGTTGCTACCCATTTACAATCGGCTAAGGTCAGCCGTGGCCGAGATTTGAACTCACGACCCCCCGATAGTGGAAAGAACGCTCAACCGAAAGGTGCTAATGGTACGGGAATCTATTTAGGATCTTATGCAGCTTTACAGCGTTAATTTATAACAATTATCAAAAAAATTGAGGTAGATGTTTAAAGCACACAGGCAGACTTGAGCTGAAACGTTAACTGCCAAATATGGCTGATACAAGTCTCTCGTTAAGTTCTCATTCATGGCGGCTACATGTATGAACTTTTCTTAAGAAGGGTTTTATTAATACATTTTAAGCATCTTTGCTGCTCAATTTCGTCACGTTTCATTCACAATTAAAACGCCTTTTAAAATAATTAAAACTTATGACTTTTCAACTTTGTACACAATCATTCCCCACGATAAATTAAAGTCCAGGCTTTTTAATATCATTTGCAAAATTATTTTGTTAAAATTTATTGTGATTGCACACACTAGTACTCTGAAGTTGACATCTAAGAAATGCTTGAGTTTCTGATTAACAATATTTAAGTAGTTTTTGGAGACCAGGTATTCCAACAATTTATTGGAATGCCCATGGGTACCAATTGCATTACGTTATTAGCAGACCTATCTTTATATTCATATGAAGCAGAATTTGTGCAAAATCTTATGCGTGAAAAGAAGAAAACACTTGCTTGCCGTGGCCTTCAACTCGACTTTTAGATACATGTATATCGACGACGTATGTCAATTAACAATGGTAATTTCCATTCCTACGTCGATACGATATATCCTATTGAGATGAAAGATACCAGATAGTCTGACACATCTGTTTCATACATGGATATTTTACTTGAAAAAGACGCGTATGCAGCAATATACCTTTATCACCTGCATACGGAGTATATAAATCTCAGTTGATTCGATACGCAAGAGCATGTTCTACGTATGAACAATTTCTAAAACAAGGTAAATTATTGACAAGCAAGTTGATTAAACAAGAATATCATAAGACTCGTGTAAAGTCATCATTTCGTAAGTTTAACGGTCGATACAATGATCTTGTCAGCAAATACAATTTATCATTGAGTCAAATGCTGACGGACGTTTTTCATACTAATAGTTAGTCAATTTTTTGTACACTGAATTGACGACGGATTTTTCCGTTATGACCAGATCAAGACAAGGAGCACACGGCGGGTGTGACCGGTCAGCAGGGGATGCTCAACCCTCCATGGCACCTGATCCCACCTTTGATGTTTCGGAGGTCCGTGTTTGCTCTGCTCTTGTTTTGTATCGTTTTATGGACTTTGAGATCGAATACTGTTCGCTATCTCCATATCATTCTTTTATTTATTTTAGTAATGTAACCTGTGTGATAAGAGCGTCACTAGCAAAGAAATGAGTCGATCCTTACGTCGCGCGTTCAAATCCCACTGTGGAAGTTGAGACCATCATTCGGATGAGACCGAACACAAACCAAGGTCCCGTGTCGCAATACGTCCTGGCACGATATATATTCATCACAACTCAATAGTCTCAAGTGCCGAGTATAGGACGAAATTTGTAGTTCAAGTGGCTGCGTCTCCGTATAAGTAAAAGGTTCTCAAAAGAGGGACGCTAAACAACATACAATTAATCAATCTTACTTCTTTCGGTATACCTAATGTTTTGATTAGTAAATTTAACAGAAATTGTCTTAGATTGCGGGATCCCTGTCAGTAAAGAAACAAATACAACGTGGAGTGTACAAGACTGGGACGGAATAGGAATAAGAAAACGGACCCACATCAAATGCTTGGATTCCTTTGAACAGCGAGGATCCGGAATAATCGTGTGCCATAAAAATGGGACCTGGATAACAGACTTGGTTTGTCAAGGTTTCGGGGGAAAAAAATTTGTCGTTTTAAAGAAAGTTTTAAAGATCTTTATCGAATACAAAATGTATATGCTTACTTCTAGAACAAGAGGCCCATGAGCAGCATAACTCACCCGAGCACATTGGCTGAAAGAACAAAGTTGAAATCAGTCAAATTTAGCACCACAGGGGTTGGCTTAAAAATTTAAACTAGAATTCCGAACTTCCTTAAGATACTTTTTTCTTCATATTTCAATGTAAAACTTCCTCATTAAGACCCTGGTAATGTTTCCACACCACAACTAAAAATGACGTTTTTTTAACTCACTTGAGCTGAAAGTGAGCTTTTTTGATAACCCAATGTCCGCCTTCCGTCTGTATTTCCATCCGCCCGTCTGTTAACTTTCCACATTTTCAACTTCTCAAGAATCAATGGGCCAATTTTAACCAATCCTGGTACAAAGCATCCCTAGATGAAGGAAAGTTGAAATAAAGGGGTAAGCTCCTTTTCATGGGGGAAATTACAAAGAAAATACGAAAATCGGGTGGGGTCATTTAATTAAAAAAATCTTCTTAACATCCACTGGTCCAGAAAAGCTGAAACTTTTGTGTAAGCTTCCTGGTGTTGTGTAGATTTTGAAATATTCAAATCACGACCTCTGAGGGTCGGGTAGGGCCACAATAGGGAATCCCAATTCTCACACTGAAATATACATTGTTTCAGACGGTGAACTAAGTCGATTAAAAATGGGTAGCCAACTGTTCTTTCGCCATGCGCTCGGCACTCTGTATACAGCCATTGCTATATTTATTCTGTATGTTGTTTGTGGATTACTAATTTTGACCTGTTCCGCGATCCAATTTTTGCAGTTTTCATTTCTGGATAGGTTTGAAATTAATCACGATAATTTAGAAATTTCAGTAGAAATCATTTGGATTCGATGATAAATATTCTACTAAATTTGGATAGCATATGATGTTAAATAAAAAAGATATGACAGTAGTTAACGAACAACCATCGTAGCTATATATAAAAAGTGAATAGGAATTTTTTTTTTTAGGGGGGGGGGGGGTCTTCTTTCTCAAACTTTCATATATTTCTAGATCATTAAATCTGTATATTTTCTCTTTCAGTTCGTGCTGATTGTAAGGATCTCCGTGAGAATGGTCACACTGATTCCGGTGTTTACCAGATTTATCCTAATGATAACGACCCCCGTCCACTCAGTGTGTACTGTGACATGACCACAATGGGAGGCGGATGGACGGTATCTAGGAATTAAGTCTTAAAACTGGCAAAAGAAATGTTCATTAGATTCTCTCATTCAGTTTTGCAGGACATTTGATAAAGGGCAAAAACATTCACAATCAGAATCTTGATTTTACTTATCAAAGAAATATTCGTCACAAAAGTAACGGAATAAATATTTTTTTCCTTTTGGAAGGTTATACAAAAACGAGTGGATGGATCCCTGAGCTTTAACAAGGACTGGGAGACTTATAAGATTGGTTTTGGTTCACCAGAACAGAATGTTTGGATCGGTAAATATAAATACTTTGATTTAAATTAGCTCATTATTCCAATGTCGTATTTGTCAAATGATCCACTTAGGAACATATCAATTGAACAAAGGAAATGAAGGCCAGAATTTAACAGGTTTATACATGTATTTACATGTTTTGGTTATTCTCAAATTTGTTCCTAATCATAAATGTGAGAAAAAAAAGATAATTTTACTTTAGGGCATTGCAATGTTTGCGTTCTGTCCATCTCCATGATAATAACAATCGAAAAGTCAATGTAAAAATGAGTTTTTTTTAGGGAAAGGGGAGAATAAAATAAATGTCCTGTTGAGTATGGTGAACTCCCCTCATAACCGGTCAGCTACTGTGGAATCATTTAAATTCATAGGGGTCAGTGTTCGTTTGTTACCAAATTTGACCTGTTGGTGGAAATGTAATTTCGCGGGTTACTCGTAAATATAATGGTTCAATGAAATTAAGTTTACAAAATTAACCTTCGTGGGGATGTTAATTTGTTGGTTAGGGTGAAACACGAAATCCGCAAACATTGGTCCCCACGAACAATGATGAGTCCACAGTAATTGGATAAAATTGATAAAGAATATAATCTGATTTGGGAAGAATATTATAAAAATGTACTTTTAAACAATGTGCCTTGCAATACATTGACTGATCTTTATACAGGAAATGACGTAATTCATCAGTTAACAAAGGGAAACAACTCGTCCCTTTATGTCTCCATCACTCTCCAGGATGGTACAGGTCTGTATGAGTTGTACGAAAAGTTCGCCATTTCTAACGAAACAGAGAATTATAAACTATTTCTGGCGGGACCTGCACGGGGAACATTAGGTATGTGACAGAATGTTAGACAGAGTGAGATATATTACCAAATTTGTCACATAAATGTATAAATTAAAAAGAAATAAAACGAAGGACAATAAACGAGAGGCTGTGCGTGTGTATATAGTAAACTATAGTTAACTAACCTTTACTATAGTTATCTATAGTAAATCAAAGTTCCAAAGTTTTTAGTATAGCAAATCAAAGTTCCAAAGTTTTCACCATAGGAAATCAAAGTTCCAATTGAAAGTTTTTTTTATAGTAAATCAAAGTTCCAAAGTTTTTCTAATAGTAAGTCAATGATTCAAATTTTAACTTTGGTACTATAGTTAACTGTAGTAAACTAGTTTTCTATAGTATTTTTTATTAGGGTAAAACGTGTTTACAAAAAAAATCTTTATTTACACTTAAACGTTGAGCTAATGTACACATTTGATTAAGATTTACATATGTTATATTATAAATTTCAAATACTACAACTCAGCAATATTTTAAATTTATCAAATTCCTACTAACAATTATTGCCTCCAACCTTAAAAATATGACTCGAAGAAAATTATTTTGATTGTTGTTTAACGTCCCTCGCTTTTTTCACTCATATTACGACGCCACGACGTACTGGCGGAGAGCTAAAAATTTTGTCCTTTACTCGGAACTAAGAGGGATTTTTTCGTGACAACACCTACAACTTCATTCGAAGAACCAGTCTCCACGCCGCACAATGGGATTCGAACCCGCGACGTAAGGATTAACGCCTTACCCCGCGATTCTAGAGCAGAAGCTCTAACTACGATGTGGTTTTACAGTAAACTAAAATTGAGTGATAGAAATCTTGATCATTTCGGAATAATACGTTCTAACAAACCTACTTGAAAGTGTCAAAATTGCGACATTTAGACAACACATGTACTTAAAATGCTAAACAAGCACCATCTCTTTTTTGACAATTCCTTGGCTGACATTTTAACTTGTCATTAGACTATATGTAAGGGACTCAAAATCATGCCGCCAATGACCTGTCAGACGTTAATCCTTTGTCCAAGCCTGTCCATGAAACATCTTCCTCCCTGGCATTGCCACGGACATACAACTAAGAATCTGTTTGACATACACGTTCACTACTTAAAGACAGTTGATACAATGAAAAATTGGATGCCTTATTGGCCTATAATTTACAACTTGTGGTGTAAATGATGCGAAATAAAATTTGCAAACTGTTTACAAATTGTAAGCTTTCTATGGTATTCTAATTTTGATCTCTCTGCAAAATTCCTTTTCGACTCTGAGTTGATTTCTTTAAAAGGAGGGGCTATTTTATGGTGACTTTCTGTCTGTTGTCCGAGTTCAATTTTACTGATTTGTGATGCTGTAAAAATCACTTAAAAAATAAGAAACGATTCAACTGTTATGAAAACCATAAATGTGTCTCTTTCCATAGGTGGGATAATTGCTCAACTCAGATGCCAAGAATTTATAATGGATGAACAAATGTATAACAGAGTAGAATATAATACGTATTTATTTGAATAATGAAGCTGTTTAAATTTACTTAGGTTTTCTATAATTTACATGTAATAGGTGACAGTATGTTAACTACTGCATATTCCAACTTTCGGTTGTCTGGTATGTACTTTACTACGTACGACAGAGATAACGACAGGTACTCTGATGGTAACTGTGCTACTAAGCATAAAGGAGGCTGGTGGTTTAATGGGTGCTACAACGCCTTCCTGAACGGGCTCTGGTCAACTACAGATTGGGTTTGGCCTTGGACTCCTAAAATTACGGATGGGACATCTGTGAAAGGCACGGTGATGATGGTCAGACGTCGTTAGGTAACTATATTCCGTTTTGATATTTAACTTTCTTTTATATTTATGATTCAAAGTGGCAGATTACTTAAAACGTGAATGATTTATTTAATGGTGATCTTATTTAATCTGATTTACCACTGTGTCTTTGTATTTTTAACGTTTAGTTTTTCATATATAAGGCGTTTGATTGCTTTGATATCCCCTCTCTAAAGGCCGTGTCACACTGTCACGATTTATGCTACGATTACCCACGAATTAATAAAAATTGAAAATCGCCGTTCATCGCCAGGTTTGTCTTGCGATTTTTCTACAGCGTGTGGAATATTTTGCTGTTAGAACGATGTGTCCGCGATGTCTGTGCGACAAAGTACGAGGTTTGCACGATTTAAGTACGATCTGAGGCGACAGCGTTACGAACTGGTTACGATATTTCTACGATTATGAAGGATCAAACGTGGTTACATACGATGCCCGTACGTAGGACTACGATATGCCACGTTACATACACGATATTCCTACGACAAATGGCGATTTCTTACGAATATACATGTAATGGAATGCATATTTAAAGTAAAGGGAGATTTTTCTGAAATCATTAAACATCATATTTATGTTAGTTGATCATGGTAAAAACTACAGTGTGGAACTTTTGATTATGTTCAATCTCTTCATGTGTTTATTAGCTCTACTGGTCAGAGACCAGAAGAGCTTATGCTATAGTAATGCGTCCGGCGTCTGTCTGTCTGTCCGTCTGTCTGTAAACATTTTTTCAAAACGCTACTCCTCCTACAAGTTTAGTCTGATTTCAATATAACTTGGCACACAAGTAGACTACACTAAGATACATAGAATAGTGCATCGGTTTTTAATTTCAATGAACGGTGTTGCCATGGTTACTAAAAATAGAATTTTCTGTGAAATTCCTTAAAACCGCTACTCCTTCTACAGCTTTGGTCTGATTTTAATATAACTTGGCACACAAGTGGACTACACTAAGAAACATAGAATAGTGCATCGGTTTTTAATTTCGATGAACGATGTTGCCATGGTTACTATAAATAGAATTTTCTGTGAAATTCCTTTAAAACGCTACTCCTTCTACAGTTTTGGTCTGATTTCAATATAACTTGGCACAAAAGTAGACTAAACTAAGATACATAGAATAGTGCATCGGTTTTTAATTTCGATGAACGGTGTTGCCATGGTTACTAAAAATAGAATTTTCTGTGAAATTCCTTTAAAACGCTACTCCTTCTACAGTTTTGGTCTGATTTCAATATAACTTGGCACACAAGTAGACTACACTAAGATACATAGAATAGTGCATCGGTTTTTGATTTCGATGAACGGTGTTGCCATGGTTACTAAAAATAGAATTTTCTGTGAAATTCCTTAAAATCGCTACTCCTTCTACAGTTCTAGTTTGATTTCAAAATAAGTTGGCACACAGGTAGACTACACAAAGATACATAAAATAGTGCAATGGTTTTTGATAAGTACAAACCAGTAGAGCTACAGTCTCGACAGAGACTTCTGGTTGTACACGGCGTTTATAGTTTCTGTCAAACATGTATTTTCAGTTTATTTTACTTTTCTAAGCTTCTTTCCTTTTATTTCAGGCAGTATTTTGATTTCGACAGTGTTAACATCAGACACCGTCTGCTTACATCGTATAAACTCGTAGTTCAGTCGCACAGTTTTCGTACAGCACTTGCCATCAATCGTCCTTTTTCGTATCATATTCGCGGGAAAGTCGTACTATGTTCTTATCAATTCGAAGAAGACACACAGTATCTCGTAGGACACTCGCAGTAACTCGAGAGACACTCGCACAAACTCGAAGGACACTCGAAATAACTCACAGGACTCTCGCAGTGTCGCGAGTACTACGGAGTTCTGCGAATGTCGCACGAACTTCGAAGATTTACTACGAATATGAGTACGAGTGCAGTGCGGATGCTGTGCGATTGTCTACGAATAATTGAAAAAGCATGCTGTGACCACGATTGTTTTGAACATGCTCAAAACGATCGCCAAGTTTGGCGATTGGCTGCGATCCAAAACGATTAAGGAAGATATGCTACGAGTACTTCTGCGATAAATCCCGATTTCCTGCGATTTTTGAATTCGTAGTGAATCGTAGCTATAAATCGTGACAGTGCATGTGACACGGGCTTAAGATGCATACTTTAGAGGTATTTTATATTTACTCTTTCACTCACAGATGATGATTAAAAAGGACTTCATAAACTTAAGGATCTCAGAACTTTTCCCATGAAAGAAACCTTTTACATCTGTATTGCAAGAGACACAATTTTCTTTGATTTAATCGATTTCGTGTAATTTTTATGCCCCTTCCCTGTTAAAAGAATACGGGGGTATATTTTGTCCTGTCGTCAAATTTAACCTACATCTTACTATTAAGTGAATGGGGCTATGGCTTTACGGGCTCTACGGAGGCACCAGTGTTTCAAAACACATCTTGTTCTTGATAACTGTCTGTACTTATTAAAGTGTTTTCAATAAAATTGAGATTAAAATACTTTATTCTTGTTTTTTAATTTAAAAAAAACTGCGATATGGACAAACCTGCACAAAAAAAGAGGATAGTTGTTTCCCTTACCTAAAGAGTTCTGTTCACGCAAATCGAGAAACGCACTAGAGGCAGATTAAATCTTCTGTCGATTACAGTGTTGTACATCAACATGTAAAGTAACTCACTCAATGAGTAAAATTGTTGTGCTTCTTTTAAGACATCAGTAGCAATCAGAGAATATAGCTGAGATATGACAAATTGCAATTAAGAAAACTGCACAATATAAGTGCCGGAAAAAAGGTAGTATCTATCGTGTTGTTGTATGTCAAGGTAACGCCACTTTTATTTTTAGCTCAAACTTGTAAACAACATTCAACTGGAGCACACAAAGATTAGAAATATGTTCCAACACCTTTTTAGCTCACCTGAGCTAAAGGCGCAAGTGAGCTTTTCTGATCAAAATTTTTCCGTCGTCGTCGTCGCAATTTTTTCAAATTTTCATCTTCTCAATAACCAGTGGGCAAATTTCAACCAAACTTGCCACAAAGTATCGTTGGGTGAAGGGAATTCATGTTTGTTCAAAAATGAAGGGCCAAGCCCTTTTCCAAGGGGAGATAATTATGAATTTATGAAAAATTAATGGCATCTCTTAAAAATCTTCTCCAGAACCATTGGGCCAGGAAAGATGAAACTCATGTGAAAGCATCCTCAGGTAGTGAGATTCATTTTTTTTTAAATCATGACCCCTGGGGGTAGGGCGGGGCCACAATGGCCGATCACAGGTTTACATTGGAATATATAGGAAAGATATTCTTCTCCAGAACCACTTGGCCAGGTAAGAAAAAAATGACTCATGTGGAAGCATCCTCAGGTAGTGTAGATTCAAGTTTCTACAAATCATGAACCCGGGAATAGGTCGGGGCCACAATGGCTGATCAAAGTTTAACATAGGAATATCTAGGATTTTTTAAAAATCTTCTCCATAACCACTGGGCCAGTAAAAATGAAACTTTTATGGAAGCATCCTCAGGTAGTGTAGATTCAAGATTGTTGAAATCGTGACCCGCGGTTGTAAGGCCGGGCCACAACTGACTATCAAACATTTACATAGGATTATATAGGAAAAATCATTTGAAAATCTTTTCAAGAATCACTGGACCAGGAAACATAAAACATGTGAAAACATCCTCGGGTAGTGTAGATATTGCTGCATAAGTAGGGGTTGTTCACTATAGAGTCACGTTTATCATATTGCTTGATTGTTAGGTTACCATTAACGTCTTTTTAAGTTTCATCTTTCCTGGCCCAGTGGTTCTTGAGAAGATTTTCTGTAAGATATTTCCTATATATTCCTATCTAAATCTTTGATCGTTAGCTGTGGCCCGGCCCTACCACCGGGAGTCATGATGTCTGAATGATCCACTTTCTATTATAGGTATCCCGAGAGAAACCTTTAATTAATAACCTGTTGTAGACGTTTGAAAAAGATACTTAACATAACTTTCAATTGTCAATTTATCGAGATTTGGAGATAACTCTTATATTAGATTAAACCCATGCATCTTGTTTGTCTGGGGTTTAATATTTTGACCTGTCCATCAGTAAATCTATTTCCTTATTTCCGTAAGATCTGTATACTTATACATTTTCATATAAAGTCAGCAACATCAAATAAATCAAAGTCCAGTTTATAACCGATTTCCTTATATATTATATATACGTTAAAATATGTTACTTACTATCAACCAATAATTATATTCGGGAATAAATAAATAAAGGTAATTGACATCATCGTCTTCGTCAACTTTTTCTCGGTGAGAGTGGGACATGTCGCCTGTTATAAATGATCCTTTACATAAAACCTCACGTCTTTTGTAAAGGTACAGTAGTCTCTCCGAAGAAGGTCCGCCTGAAAAGAAGTTATAATCCTGATCTACTTTTAAACCATTGCATTTATTTTTCAATCACAACTAAAATCAAATATGAACCTAAAGCATTATCTCCATATGTTTCACAACACTAAGTTTAAGGGTGCTGAAACGGAAGTAAGGTAATGGTACTTCTGAATACCTGGCAGAGGACTAAGTTCTTCCGAATAGAATTCCAGTCTTGCCAGGTGAATACTTGTTTAACCATGACGGCTTTGTGTGGTTTTCTTTCCTGCTGCCCGAAGAGAGAGAGAGAGAGAGAGTGTGTGTGTGTGTGTCATTTTCTGTTCTAAATATAAATATCACTTCTCTTTAAAATAATCATTCTTTTTATGCCCCCGTAAAGAAGTGTTGGGGGTATATACTTTTTGTCGTGTCCGTCCGTCTGTCTGTCTCTCTTTCCATTTGTCTGTTTGCAAAATATTTAACCTTGCCCACAACTTTTGATTTAGTGGAGCTTTGGCTTTCATATTTCACAGTGTATTTCATCTGAAAATACCTTTCTTTGGGTACCACCATATTTGACCTTGATCTTGGAGTTT